AAGGGAGATGCCAAATATAACCCCAGAATTTATATCAAAATGGCCCTAATTAGCCACATGGACCACGTTCAAAATGTAACTTGGATAAAATATTACCCACCCTACAGTGAAAGAATTTAATCTGTCATCCCCAGTTATATCTAGCACCCCGATTATCCACAAATTTGAATCAAAATGCAAATGAAATTTCTAGTAGTTCATGTAAAATTTCCAATAAAATATCAAATTTTCAGTAGTACAATTTTAAATTCCAGTATTAAATTGTATTGAAAATTTCTAAATTTTTAATAAAAACTCGTACATTTCAAGATTTCAGGTAATAAATATGAGAGTTGTGATTTTTTATCAAAATTTTTGAAATTTCCAGTATCTCCTCATATTTTATGAAACCGATAACTTTAAACAAAGATATAACAGTAAAAGCATATAATATGTGGGATGCTAGGTACAACTGGGGTTGATAGGTTAAATCCTCTCTTACAATAAATACATCATATTTGTGGGTTGTCTGACAATTACGTTAAGATCTTATCTAGACCATTTATGAGTCCACCGAGGCCACCATCATTGTGCTTTTGGCTTTAAAACTAAAATCAAACTTTCACCCCTGTACACAGAATCAGAGTAAAAACTCTCATAATATTTTTTGTTTTTATGAATTATTAGTTTAGAGTTTCATTAAGTTGCCAATTTTTGGGTTTAAAAGCATATAACCAAGAGGTACCGAGCACCAATAAAATCCCCAAAATTACAAATACCAAGCATATAAAAGAACAACCATATCCTCAGAGACGGACAGTATAGAGCTTCCTTTCATGTCTTTAGGTTCAGAAGCAATTCAAACATTTACCAAGAACTAGAAAATGACCAAGCCTGAACAAGCTAATTTCTTGAATTTGGGTGTGCATTCTACCTTAATAAGTACCACCCCTCAATGCAAGCACCAAGTGAAGGACAGAACCACCCTCAATGTTGTACTCTTTAGCTGTTTTGTCATCAGCAAGCTGCTTACCAGCATATATGAGCCTGCAGCAATTGACAACAGGTGTAAGATTCTAATGTTTTCAGTAGAATTAAGGGAAAAATCTTAATTTTTCATTTACAGTGCTTAATGAAGAAAGTTAAAAGTATTTCTAAGACTGCAAACTTCAACCATCAGAATTGAAGTGTCAGAATCAAAATTCAGTATTGTTCTTGAATATCAAGCAATTAAGCATTGCTTAATAGATCTACCAATAAATATGCAATCCACACAATGAAATTTGTATAAAAAACATCACTGACAAAGAAAACTATGCCCTACTATGATAGAAACTGGTTCAGATTGAGTGTACAAATAAGTAATAAGCCCCAAATGACCCCCTCTCAACGCCCTCTTCTTACTATCTCATTCTAACTAGCTAAATAAATCTCTTAACAGACCTATCAATACTTCCTCATCCAACATCCACCTTGTCCTCAAGGTGAATAGTTTAATTGCTAAAAACAGAACAACTTATATGACATTCAAACCATCAATTGTTCTTTTATCTGGAACCATAAATAGTGTACCAAAGAACAGATTTTGAACTGCTAATTGCATAACATAGTTGTTACCATAAAGGTGTTACACGATGAATGCTTTTTGCAAATCATATAGTCCTACTTAGAGAGTCGAATGAGGATTTAAATGAAGTTGGAGACATGGAGAGGATCCTTAGAAATGCATGGTATTCGTCTAAACAAAAGTAAGACGGAGTATATGGAATGTAAGTCCAACAAAAGAAGATGTGTTTCTAACCTATAGTTGAAAGTTGGAGACCATATTATCCCACAAGTCACACGGTTTAAATATTCTTTGGTCCGTAATACAAAATGATGGAGAAATTGAAGAGTATTAAACCATTGAATTCAAGATGGATGACCGAAATAGAAGAGGACCTCTGGAGTTTTATGTGACACAAAAGTACTGCTAAAGCTAAAGATAATATTTTATTGGACAGCGGTAAGATCTACGATGTTATACAGGAGAAAATGTTAGACGATTAAGAATTAACACGAGAATAAAGTAAGTGTGACAGAGATGAGGATGTTGTGTTGGATGTGTGATACGACTAGACGGGATAAAATTAGAAATGATAATATTAGAGAAAGTCTTGGGATAGAACCTATAGTAGAAAAGATGTCGGAAAATCGACTTAGGTGGTTTGGGCATGAAAAGAGAAGATCAGTAGATTTTGTTGTTAGGAGAACATATCAGATGGAAAGAAGCCAAACAACTAGAGGTAGAGAAAGGCCTAGAAAAACTATAAGAGAAACTATTAAAAAAGATCTTGAAATTAAAGAATCGGATAGAAACATGATATTGAATAGAACATTATGACAAAATTTGATCCATATAGCCAACCTCACTTAGTGGGATAAAGCTTGGTTGTTCTTGTATAAAAGTGTATTGATGTTTGTGAAATACTAGATACTAGAATAATATGTTGTTATTAAGTTTGTAGCAAAAGAGTGCAGTGGGATAGAAACATGATATTGGATAGAACATTATGACAAAATTTGATCCATATAGTCAACCTCACTTAGTGGGATAAAGTTTGGTTGTTCTTGTATAAAAGTGTATTGATGTTTGTGAAATACTAGATACTAGAATAATATGTTGTATTAAGTTTGTAGCAAAAGAGTGCAGTGAATTTCACCTACAATACCACCTGAAATACTGGATACTAGAATTATGTGTTGAGGAATGTTTATAAATTCAGTTGATTATTTGGGAAGGGTTCATTTCTCCTCAGTGATTAAAACAGAGAGCTTATTGGGAACAATCTAGTCAAAGGCAGGTGGCAGAAGGTCAAAAGTTTCCCATATAAACATGTCAATGCTGCCTATTGTGCCCCCATGGTGGGCATTCCTTCACCAATAGCCTATGGCGGTTGTCGAAAAATCCGCCACATCATTCTGCCATGGTCTCCATTTAACAACTCTATTTGGAAAGAAAAATACTTCTAAAAAATGGCTGATGTAGTACTTCTTCCCATAGTTGATGGAGAAAATGAGTAAACTAAAAGTTCTCCATCATAAATTATGGTTTTCATCCTTCTGAGCTGAACAATTTTGAACTACTTGAACCAGAAAAGAATCATATTGGAGCAGATTTATGCTGCTTACTTTGGCACATTTTAGAATCTAAAACTACCAAGTTCAAAACCACTGTGTTCTCAATTGTTGTTGATGGCGGATGGCGGTCCATGGCGGAGAGCCAAAATTCCACCATACGGGCACTTTGCGGCGCCGTTATTGCGGATTATGGCGGAAAACCCCCGCAATAGCAGCCAATATTTACCATTGCGGCGAGCCCAAAAACCGCCATGTATATCCGCCATAGCGGTCATGGCGGGGCAATTTGATAACACTGTCTCATTAGGCTTGGTGTTGTTTTTGTTGCTGGGCCTGTTTAAAACTCCAAAACCACTGAGTTCAAAAAAGAGTTAGACCATCTGCCCAACATCCCCTATCAAATTGTGTCTTTATTTGTGAGTTCACCTCACAAATGTCATGTATATTCCAAAAAATTTACAAGATGCCCTAGAAGTTCCAGAGTGGAACGAAGCTGTCCTAGGAAATACTAAATGCTTGGATTTTCTCTATACTTATATTCCAAAATAATACTGGCAGAATATTCAAATATATCATCATAAATTATCAGAAACAGGAGTTTTGCAAGTGACGTGTTTTAGTTTAAGAGTTATAACATTTGGCAAAGAATTAGTTAAGCCCAAATAAAATGAAAGAGAGAGAGAGAGAGAACCTTTGCTGCACAGGTGGAATTCCCTCTTTTTCTTCTACACGTTCCTTGATACGGTCAATTGTATCAGTAGGCTCAATGTCAATTTCAATTTCCTTTCCAGTTAAAGTCTTCACTTTAATCATGGTTCCTCCTCTGAGCCTCAGGACCAAGTGAAGCGTTGATTCCTTTTGAATGTTATAATCAGCAAGAGTGCGACCATCTTCCAGCTGCTTACCGGCAAAAATCAACCTCTGCTGGTCAGGAGGGATACCTTCCTTGTCCTACAACCACATATTTCAAATTGCATCAGTTAGAAATGAATGCCATATTCCAGCCAGCAAATATTAGAAATTCATTGCTGAAAACCTAATCACAGAGTTGCATATAATCTGTGCCTAAGCGTGTAAGATCTGTTATTCAATACATCCTATTTAATGAGATTTATTTCAGAAAAATTCAGCTGGCGGCTGTTTTAGGTAAAGAAGTTTGAGCATTCATAAACCTGTTAAAATTCAGTCATGCGTAGTGGCCAGCAGCTGTATCAGAATCCCGATGCCATGCACAAAATCAAATCCATCATAATACCAAAACTAGTATTGATCATTTTATACAATAGCAAAACCCCTTTTTATTCTCAAGATATTTCTCATAAAAATAAAATATATGTTATTTCTTTAAATTAAGTTAATCCAAACACTCAACTAATTTAAATTTGAAACCTAGCAGACACGGAATTGGATATAAGCAAGGAAAAAGAAGTAAGATCAGCAATCACGAGAAACCCTAACAAGATGCTATAAGTTTGTAAGAAAAAGGAAGACCTGGATCTTGGCCTTGACGTTGTCGATGGTGTCGCTGCTCTCAACCTCGAGAGTGATGGTCTTTCCGGTTAAAGTCTTGACGAAGATCTGCATGTTGTTCCTCTTCTCGTGGTTTTTGACGCAGAGAGACTGTGTGTGTTTCGTTGGAGTGACGCGGACACGGTGTGTGCGGGTGCGTATTTGAAGCAACTAGCCTTGTAGCGGGATTCCGTTTGAGTACTCTTTTTCCATTTGGGTCTGGCTCGACCGTAATCGTTAAATATACAATAAAATAAAATAATTTACTTATAAATTAATTAATTAGATAGCTCTAATAGTGGAATAGAAAGTGTAATATCCTAACAATTCTCATATATTTAAAGAGAAAACAATTTTACACTGACATTCAAAAAATATGATGTATTTCATTCAATTATAAAAATTTTAAAATTAATTGTATCATATATGGTAAGGTGGTGATATATTATTAAACAATAGTGTAAAACCATTAAACACTATATTTAAATATATTCATCCAATTATTCTCTATATATTTCTTTGCATTATTTTACTATGCATATATAAATACAGTATGTTGTTATGGTATAAATGTATGCATTTGATAAATGTGAAAATATTTATATTTTAATTACTTTTAATTATTTTTATTTTTATTTTTTTTATTTATTTTATAAATAATCTTGCACAATTATTATAAGAGTTGGCTTAACGAGATATTTATTGTTTATATTTTATTGATATAAATATTAAATATTAATGAATAGGATTAAATGATAATAAGATGTCAAAATTTAATTTGATATTAAATTTTAATCGTTAATAATACTCAATTAAAATGTTTTAAAAATTAAAAAATATAATTTGGGCTTTTCACTACTATACACACTCCATTTTTAAATATATTTTTATTTTCATCCCCTTTAAATTAACTGTTAATTTTCTTCTTAGTCGTGGAAAGCAAACACATTTGCAAAGAGTTAAGAGAAACCTAAAAAAGAATTTGGAAAAAGATACAATAAAAAATACATCTAATCGATTAAACCATCAATGATTAGGACATATCCAAAACTTTAACCTTTGTCTTAATCCACCACTAAATATGTTATTTTCATGTTGTCAACAACCTTCGAATTTTTTTTTAATAATCAAGTATTAAAAAAAATTGCAAATAACCGCGTTTCGGAAAAAATTACGCAAATAACCATGTTTCAGATGACTCCCAAAAGGAGGAGTCATCTCACTTGGCGCCTACACCCATTATTTAAGGGGAGGCGCCATCTCACTTGGCGCCTATGTGCTTAGGGCATGCCCTAAGCCAAGTGAGATGGCGCCTATGTGTAATTCTAGGGCAAATCTTACATTTTTTTTCCGGTCCGGTGCGTTGCGTATTGGATACAGGATCAACAAAATTGACTTTTTATTAAAAAAAATAATTACATCCAAATGTATTACATTAAAAAAAACAGATAAAAAAAACAGATAAAAAAAACAGAAAAAAAAACAGATAAATCAGTGATCCCCCGGAACCCGGTAATGACCCTCGGTTCCGCATCCCCGTCCTCGCCTTTCCCGTGTTGGGTGTCGTCGCGTTTCCTGTTGTGGCAGGGTCGATGGCCCAGCGAAGTCAATGCGTTCTGGATCCATAAAATCAGTCAGATCTCCATATTTAGAAGATCCGCTTTGGTACAGTCGGTTACCCATACCCTCAAAGTTTGGTCGTGTGGGCGGTGGGTGGGGTTCCATGGTGGGTCTGTAGCATTGATCGTTTGAGTACGGTGGGTAGAAAGGAAATGGATCTTGGGGTGTTTGGTATTAAGGATGTTGGGTGGTTTGGTGATACTGTGGTTGATGGTAGGCTGGGTCGATTTGTTCGTAATCTTCCGACATTCCCAGATCAGGGCTAAGGCTGGATGTTGAGGGGCCCATATTGGGATATACAGAAGACTGAAATTGTGTATGGGGTATGCGGGTGTGTTGGTATTGTGATTGGTATTGTGGTTGGGTGTGAGGCATATGGGGGTATTGGTACTGAGGTGGTGATTGTGGTTGGTTGTGGGGCATTTGAGTGTAATTGTGTTGTGGTGGGGACTGTGGTTGGGTGTTTGTGGTTCTGTTTCTTCTGGGGGGTTGGTGGGAGGTTGATGTGTTTTTGGTTTGTTGTTGGGGAAACGAGGGTTGTGCCCATTGTGTGTGTGGGTCAACCAAGTACCTTGGATGAGACACGTGCATTTCAGGGTTACTAACCGACCTGTACCAAGATAAATATTGATATGTGTGTCGCATATTACCATGATTAAGGAAAATCGGGAATTGCAAGACATATCAGTGACGCCTCTGCCACATCATACACCATTCTGGAGCAAAGTCTTTCCAGTTGGTAAGACCCCACTGGGCGTCGACCCTTTTGAGATGCCATGGGGATAAACAAGTTGGATCACTTGGTATCTCTTGATGCATTCCGAACTGCATCTTCACACAGTCGTTGTGGTGCATCTCCACAATGTTGAACCGAATGATTGTAGTCTTCGCGGTCCAAATTGTTGCATCCTCGGGGTTTGGTTCATGACCCAAACCCAAATATGGTCTCCAGACGAACTGCGAAAAAATTTAAATCAGGTTAACGAAAATGTAATATATAAATAATTTAAATGAAGAAAAGTTTAAAGGTACGACGTACATCATTCGGGCCTAAGTGATCCAACAGATTGTGGTATAGTGCGACATTGAATCTTGGATTCTTGCCGTAATCCATACCCCTCACGCAATACCTAAAGGAAATGAAAAACATTTTATTTTTAACATATATTTGGTGAAGAGATGAATAGTAATAAATGATATAACTTGATGACTTACTTTGTTGCATACGGGAACACGAAAGTGTTGTTGTTGACGGGGTTTAAGGACTCCATCTTCCACCAACCCCAGGCTTGTAGTAAAAAAGCGCATCCATAAAATGTACATTTTTCCTTGACTGCATTTTTGCACAAGGAACTGTATAGGTGGGCTAAAACTGTAGAACCCCAACTATACTTTCTTGTTTTTTCAAAATCTCTAAGTAAATGTAAATACATAAAATTTACACTATTTCCCGTACTTTCGGGAAATAAAAAGGTACCAAATAGTATCATAAGATAAGTCTGGCTTTTACTACCCTGTCTTGCTCGGAGGAATTTTCATTTAATTCCAAACTTGCATAATGACTTTTAAGCTCAGTGAGTAGTATTCCCTGACCTCTCGCACCACCACCTTCAACCATATCTCTACCCAACAATTCTTCACACTGAGAGTTGGGTTGTTGAACCGACCCGTTCACGGCCTTACCGTCGACAGGGAGACCTAGTAACATGTACACATCCTCTAGCGTAACGGTACATTCACCTATTGGTAGGTGAAATGTATGGGTCTCTGGTCTCCACCTTTCCAACATTGCAAGAATGAACTTCGAATCAATTGTGCAGTTGGAGATCTTTATAACATGTCTGAAACCTGCGTATTCCAGATATAGTACGATAAATGAGTCGGGAGCCAGATAGTTGTGAGACCGGATTCTAAATATTTTGGTATCCTGAGTTAATAATGTAAAAGATGTAAGATTAAGTAAGATGAACATAGCATTACCTTAAGTATAAATAATGTATAACCAAATTAGAAACTTACAAATGCGGCAATATTTTCCCTTGTGTCTCTGTGAGAATCGCCCATTGTTAGAAGAGCCATTGTTTAAAATGCTTGAGATTATGAAAGACTTAGAAAAAGCAGAGTGTGAGACGAGTGTGGGTGTGAGAGAAGTATGATATGGTCTGTATTTATAGGCAAAAAAAATTCATATAGTGAGTGAGGTGGTAGTTGGTGCATGCATGCATGAGAAGTGTCACTCTTGCAGGCTAGGTGGCAGCCTAGGGGGTTACATTTCTGCATGCATGTAACACGATTGGACATTAAGGGAGGCGCCATTGGACTTGGCGAAAGAGTATAAAAATGAAAGGTGTCGCCATCCCAATTGGCGAATAAGAGGTGTCATTGGTTGCAGACTAGGCTCAGGCTACGTGACAGCCTTTGGGATGCCACGCCTGAATGCATGTAACATTATTGGAGGTGATGGGAGGAGACTTACAAGATACAGTGTAGGTGCAGAGTAGGCGCAGGCTAGGTGGCAGCCTAGGGGGTTACATATATGTGTGCATGTAACACGATTAGACATTAAGGGAGGCGCCATTGGACTTGGCGAAAGAGTACAAAAATGAAAGGTGTCGCCATCCCAATTGGCGAATAAGAGGTGTCATTGGTTGCAGACTAGGCTCAGGCTACGTGACAGCCTTTGGGATGCCATGCCTGAATTCATGTAACACTATTGGAGGTAATGGAAGGAGACTTACAAGATACAGTGTAGATGCAGAGTAGGCGCAGGCTAGGTGGCAGCCTAGGGGTTACATATCTGCGTGCATGTAACACGATTGGACATTAAGGGAGGCACCATTGGACTTGGCGAAAGAGTACAAAAATGAAAGGTGTCGCCATCCCAATTGGCGAATAAGAGGTGTCATTGGTTGCAGACTAGGCTCAGGCTACGTGACAGCCTTTGGGATGCCATGCCTGAATGCATGTAACACTATTGGAGGTGATGGGAGGAGACTTACAAGATACAGTGTAGGTGCAGAGTAGGCGCAGGCTAGGTGGCAGCTTAGGGGGTTACATATTTGCATGCATGTAACACGATTGGACATTAAGGGAGACGCCATTGGACTTGGCGAAAGAGTACAAAAATGAAAGGTGTCGCCATCCCAATTGGCAAATAAGAGGTGTCATTGGTTGCAAACTAGGCTCAGGCTACGTGACAGCCTTTGGGATGCCATGCATGTAACACTATTGGCAGCCTTGGGGGTTACATCCTTACTTAATTGAAATTCAGTATGAGATTTTTAGTCTTACGTTTATCATAACATTGATTCACTTAATCTGTCAAACGTTCCAACCTTCAAACGTTCATACAATAAAACCTTCAAACCTTCAAACAATCAAACATACAAAACTTCGAATAACTCATAAACTTCAAACATTCCTACCTTCAAACCTTACAACCTTCAAACCTTCAT